ACACAAATCATACGTTAAATTGTTATATATTTCTGTAACAAATTTACCTTTAACATTTGCTTAAAAAAACATATTGATCTGTCATTTTTAACTTCAGCCACCAGATCATTCCACAATCTTATACCCTGGACTGAAGTACTTTGTTCCTTCAAACTCGTTCTAAACTTACATTTAAACATACTTAAACATTTCTATCCCTTTGAGATTATAACAACTTTCTCTTTTAGTAAAATGTAATTGGATGTTTGAGGGTAAGGTGTTTTTATGATCCCGATACATAAGTGTCAAAATATTACAATCAACCAAATCATAGAACTTTAATAACTTCAACTGATGAAATAATGAATTTGTTGGGGGTCTGTAATTCTTTCTGGTAATAATCCTTATTGCTCTTTTCTGTAAAACAAAAATTGGGATTTGTGGACTCTAGTTTGAGAGAGGGATTTACGACTATTTAGCAAAATACTTTTATTTACAAATTAGTTAAAAGTTGTCATCAAGGGAAGACTTGTCCATCCAGCCTTATATGTTGGAGCTAGAGTCTGACCCAGAGCCAGAGGAGAATGAAGACAAAAACCTCAGAAAACATCATAGAAAATAGAGAAAACTGAAGGGGTTGAAAAATATGACTCAAACAGAATATAAACATATCTAYGCAGCACCGGGAGAGACTAATTTCAAATTTTCTGCACTCATACAGACTCCAAGTACACAACAAAATGTTTTACCAACTAAAAAAAGTGGATTTTGAAAATGTTCCCTTTAATCATAGCCAAACATTTTGCAGAATAAAACATTTTTTAACAATTGTTTCATTTTCTTTAGATGTTTCAAGGGTAACAAACATTCAATGTAGCCTTCTTGTGGGCATTTTCCCCTCCACTTTCAACTTGACTATATAAAACAGGTGAAACGCTGTTCAAAGCTGCCTTCAAGTTATTGCCATTCTTATTTCAGCTGAACGCTATTCTCTACCATTTCCAATGGCTCTCTCAAAATGTGGATATGTTCAAACACATGCAGCATCAACACACACACAGAGTTTCATCTGCTACTTTTGTTACGGTAAATAAAAAAAGCAATTTTCACACCATACTATCCGCATCGTGTCCTGCTTCTTGTGAGCCGCAGACAGACGCTTCTCCACACTACCTCCCTGAAAATTTTCCAGCTGTGAGAGCACTTCTCCGGCAGAAATCTCCAGTTGTGAAGTGCATGTGTGAAGAGCAGCCAAGGAAAACGCCTGGACCAAACTGTTTGCACGTTTATCTACATAAATGTATCCAGGGCTTATAGGTGAAGGCTGCTTATCAAAAGTGTTCATGGTAAAAATTGTTTGCATTATCCCACTTTGATCAGTTATTTTCCTCCCCCTTCCTTTTTAAGTTCTATCTTTTCACGGAGCATAAAACKGTTTGCAATACTGTGGAAAATTTGCTCATAATCTAAAGTAAATTTTCATAAAGTCCTTAAAAAAGTTATGTTACTCTAATTAAGACATTTTGAACGGGATGAAGCATAAAATTAAATAGTTATATTTCAGCAGCAACCCCCTTTTAAGCAGCACTTTTACACCAAATTGTTTGCTCTCTTTTAAAATGCTTCAACAGCCTTCGATTCATACACATCGCTGCAGTAATCCATAAAATTGTCTGTCCGGCCATCTTTCCAGTCTTAAGTGTTTGCCTGTATTTTCCATTTTCTTCACATCTGTGTCACAGTCACTCATGAATCTCTCCACTCAACCAAAAGCATTTCCAACACTTGTGCGCCGGATAAAAGAGGGAAAAACAGATGCAGCCTGTCTAACTTGTGCTCAATTTTCTGTTGTGTGCATACAATTTGTTTGCTTTTTGTAAATCAGACTGGTAAGTCTCTTTCATTTGGTCTTACATATACAGTAGATACTACAGAATATTTAGTACAAAAAAAATATTAAAAAAACGATCTGGAGCATCTGAAAGTCTCAATGTGCCAGAAAAGCGAACACAATCTGAAGATTATTGTGGAAATCTAATTGAAACTATTGAGGTTTGTTCCTTTTTCGAGGATGTCTGGATTTTTTTTTTTTTTTTGAAACCCAAAACCACAACACAGTTTTTAAGTTACATATATATGTAAGAAAGTTCAGCAGACATTTGTCTTCTCAGCTACGAGCCATTTGCCTTGGTCAAAACTGACATTTTTCAAACGGGGAAGTTAGTTCACCGAGCTGCATCTGTGGGCCTCATGTTTCTTTAAGACGATGTATCACCAGCAGGGACTGAGCCAGGCCTTGACACCCCGGATACTGCAGCCAAGCACACACACACACACACACACACACACACACACACACACACACACACACACACACTCACACTCACACACTCAATAATCACTCACTGAGGCAAAGCCAAACTGGCACAGGACAAGTGCACAGACAAGAGTTTTTTCCCCACCTCTTTCTTTTCTTTTTTTCTTTTTACAAACCTACATTATTCAATAAAAAAAAAAAGAAAACAACAACAAAACCTCAACATATCCACAAACGTCACATCAATTTCATCAACTCGTCATGCTCACAATAAACAGGACTCAGATACAGTGGAAGAATGGAGTTTCCATTGATTATTTTTTCATGAAAGCTGTTTTAAGAGATAAATCTGCGCATTTCTAAAACTACAATTTGGCGAGAAGATTCTTTCCTTACTTGTTCTCATTGGTTGCATCGTATCGCGGCATGGGATCTGCATCGTTGCTGTTGACATCATAGCTTGCTTGAGGGTCCTGAAGGAGACACCAAGATGAAAATAAAGAACATGAAACTTCACAACGATTTGTAAATAAAAAGCAGAGGAGAGAAAATGTTGATCTGGCACTTTAATTTGTTACAAGAGTAAGTCTAATACTGTCTTGTCTCTGTGCGTCGGAGATTAATACATCATTAAAGTGATACTTTAACTCAATCAAATAGTTCACATTGGTATTACAGCACTTTTGTAAATCGAATCCAATCCCAGCTAATCCAATCTGCCAAGATTTTTACCCTTTGGCATAAACACATCCCAACATTAAGAGTAACTAATAACTACAGCGTCAAACAGTGAATCGCTTTATCTACACAGCTGACTGATCRTTTACCTGCAGCTTCAGGCCAAGATGTTACTTTAAATATTTGGCCCTGGTATGAGAGCTAAGTGCAAAAAATGTAACAGACAAACATGAATATATCTGTACTCAAATACCTTTATGCTATCATGCAAATCAAATCGGATGATAATAAAATTTTTGCTTTCCTAATATTGCTTCAGTTTGAACAAGAAAAAGAACTAGTGTCTCTATATAAGGCTGATTTTTTTTAGTTATCCATTATTTTTCATTAGTATGTCCAGGTTGTAACACTTGAATGCATATAAGATGAAAAAAAAATCGGTTTGTGTTGATTCTTTTGGTACATYTGGGTCTAAATCAGGCTGACTCACTGCCACAAACACACAGGAGCAAACATTTACAGCACACTGGATCATATGTCTGCTCAAACATCACACAACRACAACAGTACTTACAAAGATCAACACCTCAAGTTCACAGAAGACACCCAACAAAAACACACACACTGTCGCCCTACACGCGCATACATACACACTCACRTAGTTCTGTAAAAGGTCAGGGTGGTTCCTCTCAATGCCGTCATCAAGTATGGTCACCACCACGTCTTTACCCGTGTAGCCCCTCTTCCACGCCCCCATGATGTTCATGTCCGACTGGCAATTATGGACGTCATCGTTACAGTGCTGCAGAGAGGAAAGCAGACGGTAAGAGTAGGTTGAAAACAGGAAAATATACGAGTCAAGAGTTTTAAACATACACATTTAAAGGTTAGGAGCATAAAACAAACCATCATGACTTTCTTTTGATTTACAGCCAAGCTTTTCCAGAATCATTGCACAATGTGACGTAAACAGGCTCAGACATGTTCATGTCGGGCCTGTTTGGAGAATTCTTCACAAAATCCCACAGAAACTCATTCAATCATGACTTAATCGCTTATTCGCATAAGTATTTCTCCTTCAGGTTAATCATGTCCTACTAATTTAGAATAACACACATTTATTGATTAAATGCCAAATATAATTTAGATTTATTAAATCTTGCAATCGTTTGGCTGTAACTCATTATTGACTGATTTCAAATGATAGACGTTATACAAGAGTCACTGGAAGAATATATTAATGTTGAAAATGACAGCAGAAGCCATTGAAATCTAAAAAAGTAAAATTGTGTTATTTGAAGGTCATAAAAAAGGATAAGATGATTATCTGAAAAGGAAACTTAAAATTCATCATGTTTTGTGTTAGAAAATCTGTCATCACACATGTCAAACAAAATGTGATTATAAAAAGAACAAAATGGCTTTTAAAATGTTCATTTTAAATCTTAAGAAATTGTTTTCCTAAAAAGACTGTAAAGTCTGAATCTAACATTACTCTTCAAACATTATTATTATTATTATTATTATTATTATTATTATTAATATTAATAATAATAATAAATTAGTCTTATATAGCACTTTTGAGTCCCTCAAAATCGCTTTTGAAGGCCTTATTGAAGAATAAATGTGACCTGACATTAAACGGTGTAAAAGAAGAGAGTTTTATATTTTTWTTCGGTTCAGCTCTGATCTTCCTATGCTCATTAGGAATCCCACACATCATCAGTCACAACACATGAAGCTTTTATCTTGTTGGAAATGCGTGTGATCAAACTTTTATTTACACTTCAGCTTTCTGAGAAATGACATCGAATAACTGATTCACACAACTCAAAATGAGGAAAAAAAATTCTTGAATTAAATTAACAGGTGAAGATACATTATATGAATTAATGTTCTTTTGATTTAACTKAAATGTGTTTTAAGAGGTGGACAAAACAACTAAAACATAATGAAAAAAAGACCTACAATAGTTACGTTTGACTACATTTCTACAAATTATAATGGAAAATATAAATCAAGGCCCAAATCTGTTTAAATCTACTTATATTAAAGTAGAACCCTAATCACAAATAAAAGAATATATTTCTCTTTAAAATGACATAATGCCACATGATATAAATTATTGCCATAACTTTATTAGACCTGTTTTATCCTGWGTGACACGTGTAATAAAGTTACATGATTGCTGCTGTTGTGCAGCCGAACGGCGCCTTAAATCTGAGYTGGCGGTCCAGTATTTCTCACTGCAAACTGTACTCCAGGGAATCATGTGTGCCAAAGTTTTTATTTGTTTTCATGTCAAAGTATCATTGAGACACATAATATTAAACCTAAACAGAAGCTTTTTATTCATTACTTTTAAAGCCAAAGTACATTTAATTTGTAAATTTAGACGATTTGTGCTAAATTTGTTTTATTCTATTATTGAGTTACACTTCATTRCATCCTTTTTTATAATGACGTGCTCTTATGTGAGTTTTTATATTTAGATAAAAACAAAACCACGCAATTTGTCAAACAGGAAGTGTGCTTCTACAGTGTTTTGACTTTATGACTTTGTTTGGAATTATTGGAAATACTTGATTAAATAAACCTAAAAACATACACAGAAAGTTTTGAAAGTTGCGTTCTTCAGCTGGGGGAGAAAAAAACACTCTGGTCAAAGTATCAGGAAATATCTATATTAGGTTAACAATTGACAGACCTGAGGATGTTCAACCACACACTGTTTGTGTGTAACGTATATACACACACACACACACACACACATACACACAAATATAAGTAAAAGAGCAATGATCTGAGGGTGTTTGCAAATAGCTGTGTTCACCAGCAATACAAATCTGAGCCAAACTTGTCCATTTTTAAACCTGAGGACAAATTTCACAACACTGATTCCTTTAATTTGAAAGAAAAAACAAAATCTTCAGCTCCGTGACGTAGCAGTAATCTTGACCATGCCACGACCTTTGACTTTTGAACTGGATAAAAATGGGCAGCATGCAGGTTACAGTATACTTACAATATACCACATACTGCTCCACTTGGCGTCATTATAGAATATGTTGTTTTGGGCCATGCTGCTAAAGGCGGGGCTTGTCTGGGAAAGGGGCGGGGCTGATTTGTAATCCCTCTTGATCCTCCTTTTCACCACCTGCTGTTCTATCCACTCCACCTGAAACAAGCACACAGTCAYGAGTTAGCAAAAACTGAGATGGTTTAAAACAACACAACGTAGACATTACAGCTAACCACAGGTAACCCATCAGAGACACAGGAATAACTTGATTCAAGTTTCTATTAAATTTAATATTCAACATCTTAACTTCTTTTATGTGGTATAAAACTAAAGACAAGTCATCTCAAAGCAATACATTTTGTTAAGGGTCTTCTTATAATCCATAAGCCACTGCAGATAAAATCTTACACAGTAGCTTAAATTGACAGTATTTTTGTTTTGTTTAAACTTAAACAAAACTTTAAGCCACTAATAGAGTTGAGATAATGCTAAAAGAAAAAGGGCAAAGATACAAAATGTAACACTAATTTTTGGTCCCATTATTTAAAAGGTAAAGGTCTATAAAAACTTAACAAAAAGCAATTAAGAATAACTAAAAACCATCCAGATTTACAGAAAAACATCTGCCTTAATTTATTATAAAGTGCAGCTTTTAGTCACTTTATTCTTTCTGGCAGCACAGGTAGACTTATTAGTTCCTTCTCCCAGGCTCCACTGTGCACAGCTTAAGGAACATACAGTTTATATACYGCATGCACTAAAGACGTAAAAGTCTCCCAGGTAACATCAATCTTCCAAATGTTATGGGTTTCCTTCAAGGCAAAAGACATTCCTTGGCAAAAATCTCACTCTGGTCTAAAAGGAATTTTCCGATTTCAAAATCAGCCCTGCTGAAGAAGACAGCTGGACCCACTTGTTTGGCCCTGGTAAACTCTTCTTCAACTCTGTGTGTTTAGTCTAGCAGGATTCATTCGTCTTAAGTCTCCATCAAAAGTTTTACAAGCGCAGAAACTGACATGTAGACAGACGGCACACACGGAAGAGAAAGATCTGTCTAAGAGTTGTAAGAAAGTGTTATCAATCTAAATTAGATAGATAAGATATGCATATACAGCGGGTAAAATAAGTATTGAACACGTCAACATTTTTCTCAGTAAATATATTACTAGAGGTGCTAATGACGTGAAATTTTCACCTGAAGTCGGTAACAACCCAAGTGATCCATACATACAAAGAAATCAAACCATAAATGTCCAGAAATGAAGTTATTTGTAATAATGTGGAATGGCACAGGGAAAAAGTATTGAACACACTTACTGAAATTTATCTAATACTTTGTACAAAAGCCTTTGTTGTCAATGACAGCTTCAAGACGCCTCCTGTATAGAGAAACTAGTGGCATGCATTGCTCAGGTGTGATTTTGGCCCATTCTTCCACAAACAGTCTTCAAATCTTGAAGGTTTCGTGGACCTCTTCTATGAACTCTGATCTTTAGTTCTTTCCATAGATTTTCTGTTGGATTCAGGTCAGGTGATTGGCTGGGCCATTCCAGCAGCTTTAGTTTCTTTCTCTGAAAACAACTGAGAGTTTCCTTGGCGTTGTGTTTGGGCTCACTGTCTTGCTGAAATGTCCAGCCACGTTTCATCTTCATCATCCTGGTAGATGGAAGCAGATTTTTATCAAGAATGTCTCTGTACATTTTTCCTCTCATCCTTCCTTCAATTATTTGAAGTTTGCCAGTAYCATATGCTGAAAAACAGCCCCACACCATGATGTTCCCACCTCCAAACTTCACTGTTGGTATGGTGTTTTTGGGCTGATGTGCAGTGCCATTTGACCTCCAAACATGATGTGTATTCTGGCATCCAAACAGTTCAGTTTTGGTCTCATCTGACCAGACTATATTCTCCCAGTATTTCACAGGCTTGTTTAAATGTTGTGYAGCAAACTTTAAAGGAGCTTCAACATGCTGTTTCTTCAGCAGTGGAGTCTTGCGTGGTGAGCGTGCATACAGGCCATGGTGGTTCAGTGCATTACTTATTGTTTTCTTTGAAACAATCGTACCTGCTAATTCCAGGTCTTTCTGAAGCTCTCCACAAGTGGTCCTTGGCTCTTGGACAACTCTTCTGATAATTCTTTTCACTCCTCTGTCAGAAATCTTGTGAGGAGCACCTGGTCGTGGTCGGTTTATGGTGAAATAATGTTCTTTCCACTTCTGAATTATGGCCCCAACAGTGCTCACTGGAACCTTCAGAAGTTTAGACATTCTTCTGTAACCGATGCCATCATTATGCTTTGCAACAATAAGGTTGTGAAGGTCTTGAGAGAGCTCTTTACTTTTACCCATCATCAGATGGTTCTTGTGTGATACCTGGCCATCATTTGGGACTGAACCAGCTGATATTAACTTGCACTGACAAGGGGCAGGCTTGCTTTCTAATTACTGAGAGAGTTCAGCTGGTGTCTTGGCTTTCCATGCCTTTTTACACCTCCCTTTCTTCATGTGTTCAATACTTTTTCCCTGTGCCATTCCACATTATTACAAATAACTTCATTTCTGGACATTTATGGTTTGATTTCTTTGTATGTATGGATCACTTGGGTTGTTACCGACAACTGGTGAAAATTTCATGTAATTAGCACCTCTAGTAATATATTTACTGAGAAAAATGTTGACGTGTTCAATACTTATTTTACCCGCTGTTATTTATATATATATATTTTAATGGTATTTCATCTGATATATGCAGTGTTTTTTGGTTCCAGTAATTTAGAAATGTTTAATAGTGCAAAAAAATCACTTTTTGATCCTAAAGCTGTTATTTTTACCTTTTAGGGGAAAAAATGCATTTATAAAACTAAAAAAAGGTATTTTAAGACATACAGTTGGTGAAAAAGAAAATACAACATAAATCTAAGTCCTTGCCTTGCTAACTTAGCAGTGGTTCATCCCTGAAGTTTAGACGCCTTTCCATGACTGAATGATTCCTATGTTAAGTGGTCTAACATACCAACAAATAAACAGAAAATAGTTAAAGAAAAAAGCCAGACACACAGACTACACTCAAAGTTAGCAAAAAGCAGCCAATGCTCATATAAAACCTGAATTATTACAGCCAATTATGGCATAGCAGTGCTTTAAGACTTTTGTACAATGTGTTTTTTTAGAAACATATGCTCTTATGCAAATAACAATTTGTATTTTATTAGGATGATGTAGAATTAGCACAGGTAAAAAAAGTAAATTCCACTGAGATGCTCGCATCATCTCGTGTAAGCTAGAAGTTTCAGGCTGCGCACGTGTCGAGACAAAAACCACACGCATAACAGATAATCGATAAAAATCATTTTAGCACTGAAAAACGTTTTTGTTTTGTTGCTCAGCCCGTCAGAAATCTCAGATTTCTGAGGTATTGAATACTGTCCTTCTGTAAAGGCAAAGTATTTTTCCACATCAATACAGAGAGGAGAGAGAAGGGAAAGAGAAAAGAAAGCAGCTGACAACATGACTGGAGAGTGATTATCTGGTCCCGTGCACGAAACAATCTACCGGGATCTCCCGAGAATAGGAGCGCAAGGCAACAGGACAAGATGAGATGAGAGAAGAAAAGGCGATAAAGAGCTGAAGAGAACGAGTCTCGGGAGAGTCAATAAAAGAAGACTGAGCAGAAGATGCGAGAGAAAAAACAAATGGCAAGAGAGCCGGCAGGAAAAGGAAGGATAATTGATTTTATAAACAGCATTGATTTCTTAAATATACTGCTTTCTTTTGACTGCGTAAAAGTCCAAAATTGGCCCATAAGTGGAGTTATTTATTAATTGCATGGACCTCTGATGTAAGACTGAAAGAAACATTAGGAGGACGTCTAGGAAAAACCTCCCGTAACTCTTGKTCGTCAAGGTCTTAGTCCATTTCATGCCAATCTGATGTCATCAGGAATTTCTCGTGTTAATAGAATTTGTTAGTTTTACTTTCACAATTGCTGATAAGAATGGTTTATTCTTAAAAATAGTTCTATCTTTGCCTTTGATGAGAAAATTGTCTCAAAAACTAATTGTTTTTACTCACTGGTTTAGACCTGCCTATTCTAAAAAATGCATAAAATGTCAAAAAATATATTTCTGAATTAAGTGAGTAAAGTTAGTACAAACTGAGCCAAATGCTGATGGTGGCCCCTTTACTAACTGATGAAAAACAAGAATTAGGAGCGAATCTCAGTTTCACGTGTGAGAAACTCTTTTGCTGGAAAAACAAAAGGAATCAAAAAGTTAGACACTACATTATGAATGCAAAACAATTATTTTGCCTCTGGTAAACAAGGTGGAAATGATCCCATATGTGATTAAAAACCATGTAGAGTAACAGGTGATTCAACATCCTTCCACAGATCAGCTCCCAGCAGTAAAGATGACGTAATCGCTCGATTCAAAACCTCACTGGTGGGCAGAAAGACTACAAGAACCATTTGTTTCAAATATTATTAGTCACTTCTTCACAGATTTAAACAAAAACTGGTCCAATGTGTATCACAAATAGCCAAAATTAATATAAGGTATATAAAAAAGGTAAAAATGTTTTGCTGTTTATTTTCCTCTTTAATTGTGACCAATATAATAATAAAGACAAGGTATTTCATACAACTTTTTTGGCTACTTATTAGTACCCACTAAATTAAAATATAAAGAGTAGCTATAAGACATTTAGTTTTTATTATTTTGTGAGCAAACATTTGTTTTCAAGTTTCCAGCAATTAAGTGGATATCTTTTTGCACCTATTGTGGCTACACGGCTGATGGTGTGTATTACGGGTACTATCCACAGTCTGTGTGCCAGTTTTCGCTCTGAAGCGTAACAATCTATTCAATCCACTCAACCCCAATTTGATGGAGCAGCCGATGGTCTGCTAGCACCTGTACCTCTTCGTCAGCCCTCCTTTTCCAATCTGATTCTCTCAGTTATCTCGCTCTTTTACCTTCCTCATCTCTGTCCCTGACTACCACACTCTCAGCGACTCTCCGTTTAATTTTTGCTCTTCTCATTCACAGATGCCCCCTCTCTGTTAGATGGCTGGCCTCTCTCTCCCATTCCTTACTCCAACCCAATTCCTCCCTCTCCCCTTCTCTCATTTGCTCTCTGTGTAAGGGTTTGCAGGTG